CAGTCCCCTGTGGAGCCCCAGTGATGCTCATCAAAGTCCCTGAGACACAGTTAACCAGCCTGACGTACTGTGGTCATCTTATAAGGTAATCCACAATACAGAACGTGAAGCAGGGATCCACCCCCATCCCTTCCAGCTTGTCTTTGAGAATGGGGGGTTGGATGGTGTGAAATGCACCTGAAAAATCAAAGAACATAATGTAACCTCATGTAACCACCTGGTTCAACCAAGTAACTGTAGGGAGTCTAGTGCATGTTCAACCTGTGACCGGTCTGTAGTCATTTATCTCAGCCGGTCGTCCTACTTTAGGTACCGGAACAAGACATGATGTTTTCCACAGGACCGGGAACCTCCCCGTTTTGAAGGCTTAAGATCCTCTGGAGAGGCTCAGAACAGTCCTTTAACAGCCTCGGACACACACCATCTGGGCCTGTTGCTTTTCCAGGACGTAGCCTCTTGAGCTCCACCCTCAGCTTCTCCACTGTAAAGGACAGGAGACTTGACCCCAGTGAGGAGGGAGTTGCAGCTGCAGTGTCAGGTTGTGAAGGAGATGCCATAGGAGAAGCTGCAGCTGAAGCAGTGGACATTGTTGACATTGTTTGCAGCATTTGGACGAAGTGGTGAAATTTCACATAAATAATAAACACTGTAGAGAAAGTGAGCTGCTGCATGAGTAAATACAACTGATAGCCTTCTAATGATTATCCTCTGTTAACAGCCTGATCCTGTAACTCTATTTACCATATGACACATGTCAGTCTATTTCTGTGGCATATTATCAGTTTACATTATAGTTACACTACTCTATGTGGCCAACTCACTACATCTACTACCACTATTACTCTTACTATTACTGCAATAATGTTAGTATAGCTTAATACTATAGTACAGGATATAATAATATAACATGCTCTAGAATGTTATATGGTGTTGTACATTATGATATAGCGGTGTAGTATAGTATTTTATTATAATAAACAACATTTTTACCATACTATACAATAATAGTGTAGTATAGAATAATATGTTATAGCATAGTAAAATATAGCATAGGTTTGTATAATATAGTCTAGTATACTCTATGGTAGTGTAGTGAAGTATAGTGTAGTTATATACAAGTAGTAGTGTAGTGTATGGTCCACTGTAGTATACTATAGTATAGCTTAGTGTAGTATGATACAGTGTAGTGTACAATGTCTCATATAGTCTAGTATAGTATAGTATAGTATAGTATTCTAATAGTATTTAAAATTGAATGGTACATTAGGATGATTCAGTGAGAAAATCAGCAACTTCAACCTGTATCAACTTCAAATATACCTCACATTCATTTTACTATTCATTCATTTCATTCTCTCTCTTTCAACTCTCTCTCTCTCTCTCTCTCTCTCTCTCTCTCTCTCTTTGTCTTTCTATCTTTCTTTAACTCTGTCTCAAAAACTTTCTTGACCCCTCCATGTTACTTGATGCACCTGTAAGTGGCAAATGAATAAATGCAAATATACCATCAGATCATAATTATTCTACATTATTCTAACTGAGGCAGCACATCAGATTTTGTCAGGTCAGAGCTGGCTGGGTCAGAGACGTGGTCAACAAAGGCCGTCTTCTGGGAAAAGCTCCACAAATACAAAGGCCATATTCAGTATGCTGACCACCCTCCCTTCGGATCATTGTCTACTACTCGTCCATGGATGGCAGACTCACATCCGCATGACTACAACAGCATGAGTCTAGGCTGATTTCCCATCAGTAACAAATGGCCTTTCAGTGGATTTTTTTTTTTTTTTTTTTTTTTTTTTTTTTTTTTTGTGCGTGTGTTTGTGTTTGTCTGAGATGCTGCTGTTCCAAAAACTCACCAGGACTTTTGTCATGGGGGTAAAACCTTAATAGCTAAGGCACCATTTGTTGACAAAACAGCACATTCACACTGATAAGTTACAGGGATTCACTGTGGTTGAGTCAACAGGAGAGGTGAACCTGTTACGACCTGTTCAACAGTCTACCTGAATGTTTGTTGAGTTCAGTAGTTCTTCTACAGGTTGTTTGGTTTCAGTGCAGTTTGAGATGTTTGGTGGGCATATGCAAGGTGGCTTTGGATCTTGAAAGATACTGAAAAAATACATTAATGGGATAGGTCCCCCTTATTTTCATCTATTTGATCATTTCGACCTAAAGTTTCATCTGTCCTTATTTGAGCACAGGTGTGTCCACAGTGAAAACATGCTGGCAACTGTTCTCACCAGCTGGGTGTGATTTGTTGTCCATTCCTTTTTTTCTTACTACATTCTTCACAGTGCCCAAACTTGTATGACCCACTTTTGTTTTATTGCTTGCAAAGTTAAATGTGTTGTTCTGCAAGGTGATTATAGCCTTTGAATAAACCAAACATAAAGCAAAAGTGTGAGAACATGTGCCATCATGCACTTTATAACTTTGCCAATTTGAACAACCATGGAAGCTTTTGGGAATTCCTTCTGATTTACTTCCTCAAGTCTCAGACCTCAGTTATACTCTCCATCACCATCTTGTGGCAATTCAACAAACAGCAAAGGAGTATGTAGTGGCTATTTGTCTTCAATCAAATCTTAAATTCAACATAAATTCAGTGGGCAACTGTGGCACCATGGGTATGTGGTTTACGCAGGCAAAAGACTTTGTCCAAACAAAGCCAATGTGTTTTCTTTGTGATTTATTAATCCAAACAAGCAAACAAACCAAGGAGCAAAGAGATTGTTTCCTGCTGCCTCTCCTGCTCTTGTAAGAAAAGCATGGGCCCGCCAAGGTGCATGCTGGTCCTAAACCAGTCTACCTACATAGATAACCTAATGCGCCCATAGTACTACCCAAAATAAACAAAATATTAGTCAACCAAACTAACTATGCTAGATAAGCAAATAATATAAAGAAACTAATGACTAACAAAACACTAAACAAATTAATTAATATAATCCAAACTCAAATAAATGAATCAACAAACAAACTAGTAAGCAGCTCTTACAGAGTGAAAGTATATACTACTGTACTATTTAATAAACAGTGGTTTTCAGAAAGTATCCAGACCCCTTCACTTTTTACTTTTTAATGGACACAACTGCCATTTTGTGCCATCAGTCCACACTCAATTACCAATAATGACAAAGTGAAACTTTTTATTAAAAATCCTAAACTCCTTTTTACAAAATAGCCTTAATCCAGTACTTTGTAGAAGCTCCTTTAACAGCAATTACAGCTTTGAGTCCTCCTGGGTAAAGTGTCTACAAACTTTGCACACCGGGATTTTGGCAGTTTATCTCATTCTTCTTCACAGATCCTCTCAGGCTCTGTCAGATATATCAGACTATTAAAATCATGAGTCTAAAGAAAAAGGCCTTGTGAATTTTGCAAATCAAACAGTTAAAGACACTGGAAAGGTTTCTGACACAGTGACAGACCTGCTCCAGCTGTGGCCTCACGTGGCATGGATCAGCTCAGTGTGTGAAAGGGTAATGCGACTGGTGTTAGTCCATGTCCATGTAAAACAGTGTTTGTACAGAAATCGCACACAGCTTTCATTTGTCCATGTTTGATTAAAAAGAAAGAACATGAATAACATAACATTTTTAAATTATATGCTGTGTCTGTGGAAACCTATTGGTTAACATGGGCCCAGCAGGGAGAATCATGGGGGGCTGTAACTGATCTCTCTGAAAGAGCCTGGTCGTCCAACACAAGAAGTGTGGGAACAAGCTCTTCACAGCTGACCCTGGTGATGTTTTTATGCACCCAAAGTACCAAAAAGCTGTGCCTGTTTTCTGTCGGTCAATCATCTCTTCAGTTAAATCTGCAGTTTCACAGAAGCAGGAACATGGTCTCTGAGCTCAGTTCAAAGCAAAGTCAAAATAATTATTAATTCTACAGACCATCTAGATTTGACCCTATGGCCCAAATCAAACTCTCCTGTGTATGTAAAGACATTGAACATGGTGGTGAATCAATAACCTCACATTTCCTACCAGCTCTCGGTTGAATATTTGAAGCTCAATAGCATTGACAGATAAATCTGACATCATCAAAAGGGCGCTGATTGCGTGACTTCACAATTATGCGATTTTATGCGAGCAACAGATTTTTTGTGCAAAACAGTTTCTTTAACTCTGATCTTGTCTTATTGACATTTGTACATTTAAAGAGTGTGTGATATTGACAGAGGAGTGTGTATCTCCCACCAATCGTTAAGGAGTAAATTACAACATTTAGAAAAATATAGCATACAACCTTTGACAATAAATGATTTGATAAATATAAAAAGAAATTTCTATGGATTGCTTCTGAACTTTTTGTAGATTTTCTGATTTAGTTTGGATTATTGTATTGATTATGTGCAAAACTGGTTCTATTCATTTTTGACTATTTACGGGCAATCTGTACCAATGGTTTTAAATCAGCCTCCATCTTATAGCCTGGTGGCACATGGTTCTGTGCTCAGTCCCTTATTATGTACAATTTATTAAACAATAACATTACTCCAACAGACTTGTGATATCCAGGTTTTGCAGATGACACATTTGGTTCCTCTCCAACTCAAGCCAGATTAAAGACGGCCATTAACGTTCTTCAGACATCTACACATAATCTTAAACTTGTACTCAGTGCTGCTTTACACTGAAAACCCACACTTCCATCTCAAATCTTTTTGCCATTCCCATACGTGTAATGGTAAATTCTGTAATTACAGTGTCAATATTTTGTAGGTGTGGGTAGAAAATTAACATGTAATTTGTTAAATCGTATATATAGTGAAAGTATATTTATTTGGTTCTGTGTTTTTTATCTGATGATATCACAGATTGTCAGATCCAGATTCAAACCATCAATTCAAAATAATTTAAAAAAGCCTTATGTTTTGCAGCAATAATAATATACATTATACTGTTCATGATGCCAAAGCGTATCATACATTTGAAAATATAGCATCATTTTAAGATACGGTAAAAGATAGCTGAATTTATTTTATTGCAATATTAACAGTTTCCCTCTTTTTTTTCAAATTTTCCTCTTTGTCTTTTTTACTCTATAACAATATTAGTGCCCATAATTATCAAATTAAATAAACTAAAAATACTTAATTTAATTTTAATTACTAAGTTGTTACCCCCAACCTCTTGTCTACTACCTTTGTCTTACAGTCTCTATTTGCCCTGATATTGGTGTCCTGTATGTATTTTATTGATACATGTATTTACAAGATAATTGCATTGTAAGTTACAGGCTGCATTTTAAAGTGTTCCCATGATTTCTATTAGCCACTGAATTACATTTACATAAGTCTCTGGTGAAGATTTAAATGTATTAGGGTCACAGAGATACATGCAATGAATTGAATGAATAGTACTTTTTGTTTTTGTTTTCCTTGTGCAATAGGAATGTTTGTTTATAATTTAGTTGTATTTGTAAGTATGCTATGTGTATTTTTGTTGGTTTATGGCTTGGAGGTCTCCGTGACTTTAGTAGGGATGACTCCGGTGGCCAGCAGGATGATGATGAGGAGGAGGATGATGAGGAGGACGACCACCACGACGACCACATTCAGCTTGACGTTTTTCCACCAGTAGGAGCAAGACACTTTCTGAGACTTGTACTTGAAGTGTTTAGCCTGAGCAGGGAGAGAGGCGAGACATACCCCTAAATCAGCATTTTGTGTATTCATGACACGCCGGTCCACACTTTTCTGAGATCCTAATCTCTAACAATACCTGAATCATGCGCTTTAATAATAGCTTGGTTCAGAAAACAGGAAGTTGTAAGCTGCTTTACATTCTCTAAGGATGTGACTGTAATGATGACAAGACCTGACTGAAAGAGACATATTTCCTGGAATGGGAAAACAAGAATAACAGGTAGAGCTAGTCACGGAAAGTGGTAACTGATGCTGAGCAACACAGCCTATGCAGTGACGCATTTGAACCTCAGACAAAAGGGTGCAGTAACTGTAACTGTCTTGAGTGCGGGATGGCCTCTACTGACTTTCTGTACTGGTTAAGCTGATGAGGATGAACTGAGATCTTACTTTAACAACCTTTTTATCTGACCTCACATCCCACTGTAAGTGCACAGTACATCCAAGATGCATTAGTGCAAGTGTATGAACAAAAATAACCCACAACACATGTCACTTTTACACAAACCATAGTCAAAGGAACTTCTGGAGACTTACCCCTTCTTCCATTTCCTCTGACCTGGTTACGAGGTTGACCACCTTTTCGTTTTTTTCAATGATTTTCTTCATATTTTCCTTCATCTGGTCTGTGACTACATTTATCTGATCCTTAAAGTCCTGCATCTTGTTCTGTGGTGCCGGCTCTGCTGCCATTCCTTCCTGCTCCTGGGAAGAGTGTGTTTATTCATTAGATGTAAGTACATTACATGCAAGAGTTTAACCATATTTTTAAGTTGCCACTTTTATTTCAAAATAACATTTAATTTCCAGCAATTGTCTCCGTACAACTATTGATGGTCCTGGATGATAGCTATGAAAAGTAAGTACATTTACACAAATACTGTACCTAAGAACTATTTTAAGAAATATTAGCATTTTGTGTCATTTCATACTTTTAGTCCTCTACTACCTCTGTTTGCCCTTTTTACTCTATAACATTCATTTGACAGTTACTTTGCAGATAAAGATTTAATTTGAAAATACAATCATCATGCATTGTTTTGTTATGGATAAAACTACACAACAGGATATAAAGTAGGTGAAATTTGAAAAGGTTAGATTCACTGAAGAAATTTCAAATGTTTGCTGGTGAAAATTTTAGATGCAAACACTATACACAAGTTAAAATGTCCTGCATGTGAGGTGTTTTACTGGCAGTTTAAGTTGAGGCACTAAAAGCATTTAATGTGTCACATGAAGTTGAAGCACTGAATGTGTTTGAAGTATCTGTTGAAGTGTAGGAGCTGAAAGCTCAGGAGTAAACCCTGCAGGCAGATGAATTGTCAGTTTCTATGTAAATACTTTAGGAAGTTGAAGTAACCGCTGAAGAGTTGAAAAGAGGTGAACCATCAGCTGAAGAGTAAGGGACCAGAGCAGCCGAAAAGTCAGGTGTTTGAACTGTCAGTTGAAGTGTAAGTAATAAAAGCAACTGTCATTAAGATAACAGCAGTCGAAATCTCAGTTGAAGTTCAAGTAAGACAGTGGAAGTGTGTACACTGTAGGTAGTTTGGGTGTCAGTTATTGTGAAAGCAGTGACAGCAGCTGAAATGTCAGTACCAGCTAAAGAATAAAAAATAGTTGCATGTCAGTTGATGTGTAGAGGCTGAAAGCTGTGTGAATATGATGTTAACGTATCAGTAATACACTGATTACATGACACATTTTCACTCATACAGGGCCAATTCTGCATAATGTCCTTTTACTATTTACATGTAAGAACATTTTGCTGATAATACTTTTGTTTCACTTCCAGGATCCACAAATTAAACCACAGACAACCATCTGATAAGATGTTTGCTTTTAGATGTTTTATTACAGAAAGTGTTTGAAACCCATGACCAAATTAGTCATGTCATTACTTACTTGTGGATGGAATTACAGGGAAAATAAATGATTTTTTTGCTGGGGAGCCCCAGGAGCCTCATCAAGGACCCCATTTTGAGAACCACTGCTCTAATTATGTTTTATTGCTACTTTTACTTAAGTAAATTGTAAAGTGAATTAAATTCTTCCTCTACCACAGTAACATTTCTGATAGATTTTGTCTGGTCAGCTGTGCAGCAGCAAGTTAGCTCTTGTCAGGGGTATAAATTACATGTTGAATACAGTTGCTGATTAATCCTGATCCTTGGTTTAACCTTTGATACTTCTTAGGAAGGGGATTGGATTTTAGGAGATTCACTTTAAGTCTTTGGATAGGGCCATCTTCTTGAAGACATGTGGAGTACCTCAAGGCACAGTGATTGCATCACTTTCTTTTTCTTTGTAAACGCTACCTCTAAATCACATAATGATTTTTAATTTTTAATTCCTTATAAATGTGCACACAACCTTCTTTATCCATACCAGCTGCACACCTCTGGCATCAAGGCAAACTTTAACATACTTTAACATAGTTGTGTATGATTAGTCTTGAAGCTAACAATGCTTTTGATGTCTTGCCACTTTGAACCTATGTATTTATTAGATAGATTTAACTTATTTCACTTGTTTTATTACAGCTTACCGGACTAGTTATTTTTTAAATCATGTAATGGAACTGAATGAACGTTGAACGTGAACAGGATAAGGCTGAGATGAAGCCAAAATGAGAAGAGGAACATATTAAACGAAATAACTAACAATATGATGTCAAGCAAGTTTCCCCAGATTAGGAGAACTTTAATCTGTTCTGTGAGTAAAAAGGCAACACACAAGGGCCAGGATAGTAAATGAACAAAACAACAGCCTGCGTAACTACAGATTGGTGAGAACCCTGGAACAGGATATTTAGAGAGTAGTTTGACCTCAGAGTAATTAATATCCTGACAGGTTTCCCATTCACCTTTGCCCTCAGAGCCACAAGAGGAAGCCAGCATCTCAGGAACAGGAAACCCACAGTTAAAGAAAAACAAGCACACTCAGCATCTTGATTTGGTTCATAATCATAGCTATTATCAATAGTTGTACCATGTAATAGAGTTCAGTCAGAGTGGGTTAAGACCATGTGTGATGGTTATATAAATTTTAATTAAGTACATTTACTGACAAACTTTATTTTATTTATCTCCTGGATCATGATTTCCCATTTTAAAAAGTAGACATTACAGTTGACAGCTGTCTTCCCACTATTACCTGCCCACAGATTATGAAGGATTATAATTCACAGTCTATTGTTCCTCTCTCTCTCCATCTCTCATAATAAAGCATTTATCCTTTTAAATATTAAGCTGCTATTCACTTACCATGTCTTCCCCGTCTCCTGATGTGTTTGTTCCAAGTCTGTCATATGGCCAGTGTATTTAAACCTGAATTACTGGAGTAACAGAACTATCATCAGTGGTGATGTCATCAGCCTTTCTCTCCATAAGTGATTTAGGTTAGGATTCAACACTCACTGATCTGCTTTAACAGGGAATACATCCCATTAAATCATTAATGATAATATGTCATGGGACCTTTGCATTCACTAAGAACAGGAAAAACAATGATTTCATCTTGGGAGTGTTCATTATTCCACTATAGCCATAGTGCTAACTCCAGATAAACAGTCTAAATGAGCTACTTTTGGTGTGTTATCTATAAGTAAGTGAAACCAGATACAAACTGTATAGCTCCTATAGAATGAGCTGAATCAATTGTATTGGTCTTTAAGTTGATGTAACTGCCATCATGTATGCCGGTGCATGTATGTAGTTCTTTTCACCACTCTGGGATTTTGTCAGAGCCCAAAATTCCTGATATCTCTGACTCAGCCAACATCAAGGGTGACTCCTACTTGGGTTTAAACTGAATATGATGTGAACGTGGCCCTTTTGCTGCAGATATTCTTTGTACCTTTTCATTTCTCACATTGTTTTATTGTCTTATTGTTTGTTTTTCATATGGGTACCAGGACTCCCTGGAAAACAGCTTGATACTGAGTGAATGACTCTGTTTAAATGAAAGTAAATCAAACTGAAAATCCCAAACTGCAGTTGTTGGACTTTGTGATCTCTGATTATGTTGCGCTCACTGTAATCCCTCAAAGTTTACAGTTACAAAAGGTGATCACATGACCATCCTGACTAATGCTGCTCCCTGGATGTTGGTTTGACAGGTGTGAGCTTTTATTAGGCAGGTAAGGTTTAATTAAAGATGTATCAGGATGCATTATGGGAAGTGCAGGATGCATTGTTTTTGGATATTGACCCATATTAGGGAATGAAAGTCAGAATATTCCAGTTTCTGCTCTTGAAGTAACTTAATGGAAGTGCAATACTTAATTGCAGTGTCCCTTTAAAAAGATGATATGGTCCTTCAGATATATATATATATATATATATATATATATAGTGTCTATAAACTAAATGAACAATGTTGTATTTTACTTGAGGTGTATCTTTCAGTATTTTTATAGCAGTGGTGGAACTTTGACACAGCTTAGACATGAATTGGCTTCTTCTCTATGTGGCTCAAAAGGCTCTGATCAGATTGCGACTTCAAATTGTTTTATTTTGAAATATAGCAATCACTTATCACGTGTTCTCAGAATCAACTGCATTGCTTAACAAAAGATAAGCATTCCTCATGTCTTAGGGTATCTGTCTCCATCTTGTGGCAATTCAACAAACAGCAATGGCAGGGGAAACCATGACAAGAGAGCCGGAGTAAATACTATTTATTTCATATCAGACCATTAAAACCATTCAATGTCACAAGTCATCGGTATAAGATGCACAGTTAATGACACTGTAAAAAGCCTTCAGTGGTGACAAGGCCTTACGAAGAGAAATATGATTGCGTCGCGTACAGCATTGATCAGGCCAGTGTCAGTGCGTTAAAAAGACAATGAGAGGAGGACGACTGCATCCCAGAAGCATAAAATAACACTTTGAAGAACTTGTTCCAACACAGCCTCCTGTTTATACCTACCTCTAGAAAATGATTGAAAAGCAGAGTAACTGAACTGTATTATATCAATTATATTATGATTAATCAGTATTTGTTTATACAGAAATCACACGCTTTCATTGGCCCATTTTTGATAAAAAAAAAGAAGAAAAAAGAATGAACATGAGTAACATAAAGCATTAAATAAATAGCCTCTAAGGAACAGATACTTTCATTAACACATTGGTTAAAGGCTGTTGCAAATATACACTAAGGTGAGAATATGTTGACTATATACAGTTGATAATTGTTTTCATTTTGACCTCTTTGAAGCTGAACTGCTACTGTAACAGCAAAGCAAGATGGGAGGTGAAACACACGAGACTTGTATTCTGAAAAATGCACGCTACGTGTTTTGGAAGATTATTTTCTAGTTGTAAGATGCTGAGGGTGTGGAGGCTTTTTGGTTGACATGGGCCCAGCAGGGGGAGCCACGGAGGGGGTGTGTAAATTATCTCTCTCAGCTGGCTGGCTGGAGGAGCCGGATCCTCCAACACTAGAGCAGACCTTTAACAGCTCACCCTGGTGCTTTCTTTTATTATATCAGTTCCCAAAGCCCTAAGTTCAAACTGCAATATTTCTAATACACAGAGAGGAAAAGAACTAACATGATCAGTTAAAAAAGGCTGATGATACTGCACAGCACAAATGTACTTATCTACAATTTCTTCTCCTCTAAAAGGACCACTCATTTCCGCCGAGCAGAAAAACCACTAAATGCTGCATTGCTTTTCAACTGAAGGTATCATCTTCACTTTCATGACCCAAATTAAACTGATGTGCATTTACAGATAAACTCCTAGAGATTCTGTGCAGTAGCTACTGCTGGTGTTTTCAATCCCAACACACTTCAAAATATTTCACAATGAAGTAATTTTTGTCCTTTGTGCAGAAAAACTGTTTTGCAACTTTGACTGTTTACAAGAAACATCTCCTCAAACACCAGTTAAGGAGCTAAAGGACTAACGCAGTGCGAAGTGTATACATTCAATAAACTATCTTTTTCTAGATGTATGAATACAAAGAAGCTGTAAGCACTTTAAAAGGAATTCGCCCCAAATCATAACATACAAATCCAACCTACGACGCAGCTTTTCATTAAACATATTGTGACCTAAATATCTTATAGATTTGTGCTTGGTGCATTTCTCCAATGTCAAAAATTTCTTTTAGACATGTAATTTTTTGTCTTTTAAACTATACAAACCGTCCTTTGTAGTGCACATAAGCGACAAACATGATATCTAGAAAGAGACTGGAGGAATCCACATTATTCATTATTTCCATCTACACATATTAAAGTGACTTCCTCTTTCCCAGGATGAAATAACCCCTGGTGGTGAAACAGTTTAAAATAATGCCGATGGTGGTGTTATAGAGCGTCCTTTGAGAACAGTGACGAGTGTTTTTTCTGCTGTCGGATGAAGACCTCAGACCTTACAGAGAATTCTCTTTAATTTTGTACAAATTCAATGTATGGAAATGTGTTTTTGGAAAGTTTCAAAAAGGTTTATGTGTCATTGAAGTTCCTTAAACCAAAGAATGAAATCCTTGAATTTCAATACAAGCATGAAAGTTTCCGGTAAGTTGTAAAGGTTTCACCAGACAGCAGTGATTTGCTTGAGTCTATATATTACTTTTTATACTGTGCAACAGGGATGCGATTGTTTATGTATGTACATATGTGTGTGTGTGTGTTTGTGTTTATGGATTTTTGGTGGGATTGACTATAGGAGGCACGGGAGCACTGACGGGGATGACTCCAGTGGCCAGCAGGATGATGATGAGGACAATGATGAGGACGACCACCACGATGACCACGATCAGCTTCACATTCTTCCACCAGTAGGAGCGAGCCACTTTCTGAGACGTCTGCTTGAAGTGCTGAGCCTGAGCAGGGAGAGAGAGAGAGAGGGGAGAGAGAGAGAGAGGTGGTGTTGGTATCAAGAAAGGCGCAGCAATGCACGTGTGTCGCAGAATGAATGGGCCGAGATCAACGCACAGATAATAGCCCCTTTTTCCACGGAAGATAGTTTGACATGGTACACGCCATCATCACATAAAAATGGTTTCACTGCCATGACTTCCTGACACGATTAAAACAGAGAAGATTTTTACACAACTCAAAGCAAAGGAATAAACTCCTGTGGTGAGACTGACCCCTGCTTGCAGGTCCTCTGACTTGCCCATGAGGTCGTCGAGTCTCTCCCCTCGGGCCAGGATCCGGTCCACATTCTGCGTCATGATGTTTTTAACTCCATCTACCTGATCCTTCAAGGTCTGCACCTTGTCCTGCGGTTCTGGCGCTGCCGCCACTCCTCCCCGCTCCTTGGATTGGACAGAAAAGTCATTTTAGAAAATGAGTTGAGGAACAATGTATAAGACATGTCCAAACTTTATCTTGTAGTTTTTAAATCAGTGTATAAGAGCCACTGTGGAATCTAGCTGACAAAAAAAATGATTGGATGTTTGTAGCAAAAAAATTTACTGTGTTTTAGGGATTAGAAATCTGCCACTTTAAGTTAAAATAACCTTTACATTACATACAAACTCTAAGTAAAACTGTGGGCCAGGGCATCTCTATAGCACCACAACGCAAAAATGAACAACACTATTAAGTTGCATTGTGTAAAATGTAGGATCTACTTTTTTGGAACATGACTCACACTCACTGCTTTAAATTTGACCATTAAAAAAAATCTGTCTCTCGTGAGTCCCAAAACTTTATGTAGATGCAATACCCGATCACTGGAGAACCCTTTTCAGGTTTGGCATTGCCTTTGCAAATATGTCTGTTTGAAGTTAGACATCATGATGAATGTGTGCAGAGGTGACTAGATTTCTACTGTCACGGCACCATGAGCTGACTCATGAAAAATGGCCAAAGCAGTATCTCTTCATCTGACACATTCTTTTATTTCCTCCTACTTTTTTATCCCATTGGCTGGGATCATCTGTCTAACGCCAGTACTTTCAGACAGCTGGCGGTGGCTTGGAGAGTCCCTTCAGTCCCTAGGGCTGTTGCATGTGACACCACCGCCTGCTGGCTATCAAAACGATTGTTTTTACATTTCTGGGAACGGCTGCTTGTCTGCATTCAACAGGAAGATAAGCTGTGATCGCACACAGCCACAAAAGTAAAATGTAAAACACAGTGTGTGTGTGTGTGTGTGTGTGTGTGTGTGTGTGTGTGTGTGTGTGTGTGTGTGTACATACAGTAACTTAACAGCTCCATGAGCCAGCAGCAGACCGTAAACAAACCTGTCTCTAAGAAACAGAGCAGGTTTTGCTGCGTCATCTGCTGTCTCTCCTGTTACCCTCCCTTCTCTGAATTCCCTCCTTCCTTCATTCCAGTGTTTCTTTCTTTCTTTTTTTGGTCGATTATCTCCCCTCATTCTCTGTTCTCTTCTTTATTCTGTTAATTCGTCATTTTCTTAACTTCCCTTAGGAGCTGTTGGTCTATCCAGTGTCATCTAATTCACCTCTCAAAACAAAACTTTTACAGACTTCCCTCTATGTAGCTGGTTTTGATCATGTACAATTTGTGTCATTACTTTTGTGTTTAATTTGAAATATCTATGTTCTTCATCTCCACTTAATACATGCAGATATTTCTGCACTCTTTCCAGATGCTTTGCTCCTGTTTTCCACTCTTAATAACCTGCCATATACACCAGGTTCACCCTCTTTCCCTGTCTCCTGTACCGGTGCTAGTAGTTCTGACGAATGGCAGCCAGCTATCAAGTATCAACATTCAGAGAAAGAGAGCCAGTACATGATGTTCATGCACTGACGGCTACATACAGTATCCTTTTCAACTATTTCAACTGTTGAAAGACGTCATCCAAAAATGTCTCTGCCATTCATGGAAAGTGACTTTGGTCTTCCAATAAAACTTGACAACTCAAACAAAAGGCTGACAGTTCAGGTACAATGTAAATATGTAGCTAATGCATGAGGAAAAAGGATGATACACAAGGATGTGCTCTCTAAAATGCGAGTGTGAGAAATGAAATCTTTGCCGTGGAAATGTCTGACTGCAGTTGTATATGCAAAACATGGATTAAATTTGAATTGTTAGACCACATGAAATCCTCCCTGCTCATATCATCTAGTCAAATGTGACATTTCCATAATCTGTGAATACACACATTGAGGCTGGAATTGACCACATGCTGACACTGGACAGTTAGTTACCCTAATACATGCTGCAGGCTACAGGAAAACACTGTTTGTTGGTTTAGCTCTTGCCCTCAACACAGCTGAGTCAGTGTAGCTAGAGTGCAAAGGTTTTCCGAGGACCTTGACAGAGAAGAAAGTCAATGGTTCAAAACCACAGAAGTAACAGTTCAGACTGTTCAGCAGAGGAAGCAAGACCCGCGATGGATGAGCCTTTGTTACTGAGAACTGCCCGAGAAGATCTGTGTTAGATATAAGTTGAAAAACTAAGCTTATAGCTGTTTATAGCACAGTAGTGAGAGAACGCGGAAAGAAAGAAAGAAGAAAGAGGTTTATGTTAAAATAACATTAGTAATAATAGTCCTTCGTTTTACTCCTTTAAGATTCTGGGGCTTCATGGGAGACTTTCAAGGATCTTGAGCTCTGATTGGTGAAGCCCAGTTGAAAATGTTTCCAAATTCAAACTTGATCCACAAGGTTTTACATTAGGTACAAATCATTTTCTGATTCACAATCTATAGAAAACAAGACTTCATTTGATAACATGATCACATGACAACGGCTTCTCTTAGCACAGTGTTATTCATACACAATATTATCTCCAGTTTGTGCCTTCCGTGTTAGTAGAAAAGCATGCGTTGAGACAAACAGGGGCTAACAAAATAAAAGTTCAAGCTGTAAAGGTTGAAACTGAACTCATTGAAAAATGATGCACGGTGGATATAAGACAATAGATAATAAGAAGGGTTTTTCAGAGAGAAATGTGGCAATGTAGAGATGTCATGAGCCTCACTGTGCCGGGGTGTGATCTCAATCAGCAGGCCAGGTAAATAAGAGTAAAATCGCTCCATCTTTAAGTGGCGTTTGGCTGCAGGCACCAGGCTCAACCGACAGTGAAGAAGTGAGTCGTACTTTTGAAATATGTGCAGAAAACATGTTTTATCAGTTAGTGAATGGAATAAAAATGTGTAGATACATAATATGAGAGAACGGGTTACGTTTAAGTGTCTTAGCTTGAAGTGAAAAGAAACATTGGTTTAATCATAGACTGCTTGGTCCCAGCAGTTGGTGTCAATTAGGCCATTTTGTCAGGCTACTCTTCGACTTCCTTTCTCGACAACGAAAAAGTTAACACGCTGACTTTACTAATGTTCAGACCTGTTCCAACAGTTTTATATCAAAAGTAACTTATTTAATCGGGAAATACACCTGTTGCACGTCTTGTCTGACGTTAAACATGGTGACGGCGGAAAGGCTTTCTAAAAAAACAAAAACACAAGCTTCAACCATTATCACCTACCGGATCAATGTCCATCTTGTCGGAAACAATGCCCTAGAACCGCAACCCGATGGATCAACGTAGTTTTAAGTTGACGCTATTTTTAAAACCTTTTTAAAACCTTTTAAAGAACTTGAAAGTTAGATGCTCCACCGAAGCGACTATGTTTCCTCTTCTGTTTAACTTCCTGGTTGTTTTTTTCCTTCAAACTGAATTCCGTGAGGTTCAAGTGTCAAGTCGACCATTACATAGCCACAGCTTCCTAAATATATTTTCAAAATAAAGCACCCTTCGTAGCTTTTTTGAGGAGCGTACCAGGTTGGCACAATTAGCCAAAAGCCCCAAAGTATAAGTGAAAATTAAACACTCGTATATAGTCATATTATAATAATATCCACTTTATAGAATATGTATCAACGCTGCACCATGGAAATTGCGTGCTTTTATTTTGAAGCCTCTTGTCTTAATTTCCTTTATTGTTGTACAATACAACAGCTTGATGTGGCTCTACATTTTATCCTTGGGATGGTGTCATAGCAAGGTGTTCTCAATACATGTAGGTTGTGTGCATACTGAATCAGTAATGGAGATAAAGCTATCACACTATTTCATAATAAGTTGTCTGCTTCTTGACTAAACTCGCGCTTATGTCATCATGTGTGTTTATGATCAAACAAAACGGCCAAGGTGTGACTGTGTGCTAAGAAAGTCAGATTTATTCAGAAAAAGCCCACAGAAAGCATAAAAGTACTAGCAAGAATTAAAAACACCACTGACATTAAGGCAATCACAGTGTTAAATTAGATAAACTCAGTAAGTGTAGGAATGACCTACAACATCTGACTTTGATGCCATTACAGCATGAACAATAGCAAAATTTCTCAACGATTCCTGATCTTACAGATTTTTCATTGGATGACTTCTAACCAAATTGTCAGAAATCATCTAGTGTATAATTTTCTTGATTATAATTTTATCTTACACAATTTCTCTCAAATTCTTGAGGGGCATTGACTTTTTTCCACTTGGTTAATCATCCACTCTTAGGCTAAAGACTTTCATTACAGGAAAATAACACTAATTATGCTCTAATTTCCATATTAATCACTTCTCACTGTTGTATTGCTGATGGCAGCAGTGCAATATGAAATCTAGGCCTCATCAGTCCTCTGCAGCTCATTCCTCAACACAATAGCTGAGTATCTCTAGATCAGCAGCAGTGTCCTACAGTATGTCATAGATCTAATCTGATTAGATAAAGATGTTGTTTCAGTGTATTGATCCACATGAGAAACTGTAGGATTATATTAGTTATTTGTCTTACTTTTCTACATGAACCAGTGAAAGAGTGAAATTTAACCGCTGCCTCTGATAAAGACCACAGGACTCCTGAGACTCCAGTGTCTTTCTCAGCTGAGTGACTCCTCCCTACCCCACTGCTCTTTGACGTAATGATGCAACACTGAGTCCCACCCAACCAGCAGCACCAGCCCTGACCAACCGGTTTCAGCTCTAGTTTATATACTGATTACCTGCCTTCATGTCAGACAACTGCTGCAGGCTGAATCACAAGCAGCTAAAAATAATCTAGGCCATTATGTCCATTTGGAAAAAAATGCCTGTCTGGCATTAACAAGTGCACTAAAAATATTGGTCATTGCATTCTTGGAAATATGAATTGTAGGGAAAAAAGACCTAATGTTTTAGAATAAACCTTTACAGTGCGTTTAAGAAAGAGGCTTTTATTTCTTTGACAATATACATTTTTTGTGCAGTGGCTGAGCAGTTAAATTATCTACACAAAAGAGAAGCATTGACAGTACAGAATAAAAGGAAAGGCAAATGTTGAAACCACTATTCAATGTCTGAACACTTCCTTATTTTATATTTGCTAGAAAAATTGTAAAAAACATAATATCTAAACAGGAGAGAGTCACAGAGAAACATTAGATATGACAGAGTAAAAAGAGATGAATACATAGAGAATAGCATAAAAGAATAGCAGTGATTCTCCATACAACATCCCATCATTCTTTCTCCTCAGTGGCCTTGTCTGATGATGATATCTGACATGTCATCAACCTTCACCAACTCCAAATTCTGTTAAAAAGAAAAAGAAAAGAAAGCAAACAAAAATTATATATTGCACACTCAATATTTGTAAGATATGTGTAACTAAGTTAAATTAAACATGTAAGGTGTGTACACATTTTCCACTCCAAAGGTTCATCTTTTCCACATCTTAAATTCTAAATTGCTACATTGAAAGTAAACACTACTATACCAAGAAGACATTACAGTAATTAAATAATCATGTACAGTATTTTATATGAAACACATTTGAGTGTACAATCAAACTTAAGAGCATGATCAAAAGGAATAACATCGGCCATTTTCAAATTATTTGTACGTTTATACAGTCCAGATGTGATTTTAAAGGACAACTGCCAGCCCATCTATTAATCTAACTATCAAATGGGACTTCTGTACTAAAACTTGATTAAAGTATTGGTTTAAATTTTCTTCACTTTTCCAGGACGTTGACCAACGGAACATTGTTTCAGTTACCCAAATATAAAGTATACATGAGAGAGTATTTTCCTTTATGCGCAATAAACAACCAAAAACACTCACCTTTTCATTGGCAAGATGAAGCAGAGCGACAAATGCCAGAGGCACTGACAGGTTCTGAGCCATCGTGTTTGGCAATCTGTACCATCACAAAGACAGAGAGAAGAGAAAAGACAAACACAATAAATTTTTACATTGGTTCAATCATGCTGTTCATACCGAGCGCCTTTAAGGAAATAGTAGTTTTTAGTTGTGCTGCCAGCTGGTTCACAGCAGGGTTTATATGATGCATATCTGCCACACTAAGACACAAATCACATCCACCCACACAAGTGTTGTTTCACAGGCCACAAACTGCAGGGTTCCTGCACAAGCTCAAACTAACAAACGTTTCCCCCGAGAACACTGAGGCCAGTGTAAAACATGGATGAGTATGCTCCTAGTGGCTGTATGCTTTTATTGTCTAACAAGCCAATATAACTGTTTGGGTGAAGATTATTCCCCAGAAGAATGCAGACATATTGGATGAGACAGTGTGTTTAAATCTATACTTCCATATCCCATTCTTGACCCCAGCAACAGTGAAAAAAGGTAAAACATAGCATGCACACATATTTAAATGCAACACTCTTTTGGCCAGTGCTATTCAGTCATTTTTATTGCTAATTAGTACTTAGCCACAGTGTGCATGGTAGGTGGTCTGCTGGTACCTTTGAAGCAGCGTCTTTGTGGTCTGACTGAAGACTTTCTCCCCGCTCACTTCTGGTTGCTCCACAGCCTCCACCACCTGCAGGGAATACGAAGGCATAACTAATAAAATGGACTCGTACACACAGAATCAATACAGAACAGAAGAAACACATCACTAGAGTTTCAAAACCTGAAATTGGTGAATTTACCATTTTATACACCTGCAGACATAAAAGCTGACACATAGCTGCTGTGTCAGTGTAACCTACCTCTTTGGGTTTCTCTGGGCTTTCAGTGAGGAGAGTCCACATACTGTTCTTGAGTCTCTTCATGTCCATTTTCTTTGCGGTCTTAGCATAGTTGATCTCAATCTTATTGACCTACAGGAACAAGCAATAACATAAGTACAAAACTACAAAGCAAAAACTTATATTATAGTTAGTCTGATTCATGATAAGTTGAATCTTTTGTGTAAAATGTGCCCACAGCCTTTAGACTAAAAGGGGTTTAAGGGTTTTGTTACATTCAGAGTTACTGACTGTAATTGAAGTGACTTCTTAGAAATCATAAAGCAGCTTTAGTTCCAGCCACTACTGTGTAAAGTTGTGTGTCTTGGAGAGATTATTACAGAAGCTTTTGAGCAGAGTGCCGCGACTTATAAAAAACCCAGACCCACATGCAGTATTGGGTCAGTCTTGGGTTACTCACCCTGTGCGGTTCAGGTACCAGATCCTCCTCCCCATAGGTGGAGACGCCCTCTAGATCTTGAGAGGGCAGAGGGATACTGTCACCTGGCTGTGTATCGTCTGAACCGGCAAACCCTTCGACATCATCATCACTGTCGCCACCCTGAGGAGGAGGAAAGACAAAGAGATGCTGAAAGGATGAAAATTTGAGACGTGGTTACTAAGCAGTTCCTGCTTTGCTGTGACTGCGACATTGCTGCTGATTATTCTCCATCTCTCATTCCCCAGGATATTAGAAGTCCTCATGTTTGGCAGATTCTAGAGTAAAGTATTTGGTTTAGAGGTTCAAAGGTGGTAGTAGTTCAATCTTGTGTTCATGCAATGTCAGTTACAATGGAATCGTCAATGTGTGGATAGATCACAGCTTTGATCACTGTAAACTGTCATATGCCCTAAATATCGTTCCTGCTTACCCACTCTCAGTCCCTCTAGTGCGCTGTGCCATATCATATTGTTTGTAATATTGGTGCAAACCTTATGTGAAAAAACTGTTTATATCATGATATTTAATGTTTTGCTGTTTGTTGTATTTACATCATGACTGTACAGCAGCAACAACTGCTTTATAGAAAAAGAGCAGAGGTGCCACATCACTAAACAAAGGCCACATACATCATCTCATAACAGATGAAAGAATCCGATTCAGCTGAGGCGGCAATGACTGATCGATCACTACATTGTTTGCTGCATAGTAATTAATCAGAGCAGCACACTGCACTGCCAGGTAAAGGATAAACCTTCTGAGTTTAACCCTGAGTTGGGAAAAGTAGATTCAAATGTCTCAATTCATTAAATTCAGAAGGTGCTGTGATAGAAAAAGCCGACCCACAAGCAGAGGCGCTCGAGTGTGTAGTTTGATAATGACCATCCAGACACACCTGATCCAATATAATGTGCATCAAGTTCAAGTTAGTTCTAAGTTGATACGGATCAGCTGACTAACATCCGTACAACAGGCCCCTCCGCATCACTGACTCTAATTAGAGTTGCATTGAAAAGACAGAGCCACAGCTTTTCCTCTCAGTGGTTCCTCCAAAACATCCGGTGAATCCACCTTGTATCAAACAGTCAAAATACAGGACCATGCACCAAACTAACTGAAATACCCTGTTATATCATGATATTAATTTAAAATATAACCCACCCCTCCACCTTAGATAAAGAAAGTCTGTTAAAATACAGTAAAATCAAACAAACAAGAACAAATTAAATCCAAAGTCATATAAAAGGTGGTTTCAGACCTGAAGACCTGGACAGAAGTTGGCTGTGTCGTTGGCATTGTTGTAGTCATAGTCTCCAATGCCTTCTCCAAGCTCTCCAGACAGTCTCTTCTGGCCTTCTTGACTCAACTAGGGTAAACACAAGCAAATATACCATTCTTAATACAACACAAATGATCTTTATTTAGGGATGTTAGGGTAGCTTTTATAGTTACTTTGGCATGTCTCCATTTAGTGAAAAGCCAAATTTAGTATAAAAAGCTGATAGCCATGAGAATTACGTGCCTACAGTTGTGTTTGCAGCACATTTTTCTGATGTTTGTATGGACTGAACCGATAATGATGTTGAACTTAAGCTAACATCTGACTCATATGGGATATCAGAGCTTAATCTCAGACAGCAGACACTGCAGTAGTCAGTAGTGAGGTCTCACCGAGCTGGACGGTTTGAGGCTGAGCTGGGAAAGTGTCTCTGGGGGAAACTGGAAGTCTGCTGGTAAAGTCGTCTTCTTATTGCTGGTACTGAGGGCAGACTTGCTGTTAGTGGTGGTGGCCTGTGAGGGGAAAGGAGACAATGTCAGATTCAGTTCAGATACAAAGTCCAATTTCAACGCTTATGATTTTTGTCTGATTTTAAAGATTTCCCTACAATTCTGTGTCCTGTTTCACTGACATGAATTACTACAGCCAGTACTGTAGTTGTATCATCATCTTTATTGCGCCAAGACAGCACCCAAAGGCCTGTGCTCAGATCAGCAAACACACCTGCCCTGACATGTTCCCTTCAGACTTGGTATTAACATCTGCCTCGGGTGACCAAATCAAAAGATGCAACTGAGATCTGATCACTCAGACCACATTTGGAGGTGGTCACATTCCTTTAGCAGTGGGAACGCAAATGTGTCCTGGGCCACATTAAAGGACAAATCTTAATTCCGGGTGTGAACTGACATACTTAGAGCTGTCCTGTCATGCTAATGCCAGGTGTGAACAGGACCCAATTCACTGTTAACAATTCCCCTGTGTTTTCATCTATCCGAAGAAGCTGTGATTTTTTAAAATGGTGACGCCATCATTTAATCAGACACATAACAAAAAATGCAATTGTTGCTTTAACTTAGGTTGTATTAATTATCAATGATTACTAATTCAGCCTAACTTAATTTATTATTTATTCATGCTGGCCAACTAACAACTAAAACCACATTCCCGCAGCAGAGACATAAAAGACTCCCAGAGCTGATACCTGTGACACCAGCTGCATCAAAAATAATTCCCAAAGTGCTGAATGCTGTGTTGCTATGGCTACCACACCAAAAAAGTGCCATGTTATAGCCTTAATGCCTCCACATTTTGATAGATGAAACTTGTTGAGACGGACCACCTGTGACTCCACTGATAGGTGTCAAAGCTCTGGACTGCAGAACATAAAGCTTGTCTCGATAAATGATGCTAGAGTTTCACTCCATAATCACCCCCCCCCCCCATTATTCAGATACAATGATGATGATGATGATGATGATAGTATGAAAAGCATAGAAAAGCAGTACTGAGAGGAATATTGTAATGACTTTGAATCTTATAACTGTAGCCTTATCTCAGCCAGCTAGCGTTTTGAAATGTCATCACATGCCCCTTGTATCAATGCCTCTTTCAGCACCAATAAATCAGTCAATTTTCCCTTCATCTCTGCAGGATTAAAATCTGAAACACAAAATGCATGAAATCTTTTGGAGATCTATGTCTCAATGTTGCTTCTTTCTACCAGTTGAATCAAAAAAATATTGGCAAGCAATTCTTTTAATACTAAGCTTTGAGGTAATATTTGCACTCTCCCACACTGAATATGATGTGTCTGAGATTAAAAAGCAGCAAAGGTTTTTACCCTTGTAGTGCGGAAATATGTGTCAAAGTTGACATCATCGTTGAAATCTATTTCAAAGGTCTTCTTGGGCTTCCTTTTACGTGTCTCCTTGTCAGGCAAATGGTCCACTACAGAAGATTAAGTAAATGAAAGACAGACAGATGAGACAGATAATTGTTACTCTGCATATATTCAGCAGGGGAAGACAACCAATAGAAAATCAGGTGTGCCTACAGAGAGTTTACAGAGTATTTGCAACATTTCAAAAGATTATTAGTTGAGATTCAACTCTCTAACTAACCCTGACTATTAAATGGTTTACATATTTGTAGGAAGGGTCTGAGTATTTGTATACACATTTGTTGAACATTAGATTGTTCAAAGATTAGTGAAATGCTACAAATACTCACTAAACTCTCTGTAGACAGACTATTTAAATAAAGTGTAACTGAAAATCAACTCAGCTGTTGGAGAAAATATGAAAGCCTAATTTATCCCAGAATCCCTCAAAACACAAAAATGAGCCTCATGTGTATAGATTATGCTTCTAGTGTAACACAGTATCCAAATACATTTCTGCTATATTTATGGCATCACATCCAAAGGAATGGCTATTGACTGAGAACACTCTGATGAGCGCCACAAAACGAAAGTAGAACGAAGAGAAGAAATGCAGTAGACCGAGGCTAAATTAACTGTCATTACAATAAATAATTCATATTCATTCATTGTTACATTGTTATAGCACCAGTCTGCCTACATTTATCAAAGTACATGGATAAGTAATAATAAGTAACCTTTCTTTCTCAAAGGAACTTAATCTCTACTCTTACATCACTGTTGTTAATTATGTCCATGAATGTCACTCACACTTGTGCTTTGGCTTGAACTGCCAGTAGCCTGGTCCGGCCCATGTGGCCATGGTCCTGGGGCTGAAGTACGAGTACTCCCTGGGCTGAGAGGACAGGTGCAGACACATAGTGGCGATGTCTCCCTCTCCGATGGGAATTACATCCCTGTATCACCATCACATCGGCGCAAGGAACAATTCAAACCAACACAGAACACAGAAACACACACACAGACCTTCAATTAGTAGAGGGAGACAGTGTATTTTGACCCATTCATTGTGTTCTAATGAATTAAATGCACTCATGGTGATAATGGGCAATGCAATTACCTTTCCCCCCCATGACAACGTAATGCATTTTAAACTTGCAGGCTTAAATAGGCATTAAAGAAGAGGCTATTTTTCTGTTAAGAAATTAATGGAAGCCATTCTTTCATCCTAAAACAAGGTTCAAAGAGTACGAGGGGAGAAATGAGAAAAAGTGCAAAAAAGAACAAAGAGCCATCACTAGCAGCGTTTGCCCATTTACCCTGAGACTATATAAAAAAACAATCAAAAATCAATTAATCGGAAGGTCTGTGGTAAAAGGGCGCCCTGTAATCCTTGATCTTACCTTCCTTTGCCGGAGCCAGAGGCCTCACAACCCTCTTTGTGCTCCTTGGATCCGTCCTCACAGTCGCCCTGTCCCTCCTCATAGTCGGCGTCAAAGTCAAGGCAGTCATCTTCCTCAGGTTCAGGCTCGGGCTCAGCATTCACGTCAAACACGTGTTCGCCCTGCTTCATCTTCTCCAGGAGCTGATTCATGGTCTGAAAGAAGACGCACGGTCAGACAAATGGCACGCTGAGCTCTGACAGTCTCGCACAGTTGATTTAGGATCTGATGTGTATAAAGCAGTGAATCCTAAACAGTCCGAGAGAAGACTCCTGGATGTTAAATTTGTCATCTTTGGATGGAGGCTCCATCACTATATCAGAATGCACGGATGAAATTTAACACAATATAACCGCATATCAACACTAACTGTTATAGAACCACTGAGATATATTAAACCGATAACATTAAGAGAATAAGCTAAAAAACAGGATTAGACGATTCTGTGTTCTAGTCAAGTGAAGTCAGTTTTATTTATATAGCACATTTAATACGACAGGCGTGAACTCAATGTGCTTCAAAATAAAAGCAAGAATACATCATACATGACAAAATAGCAAGTAAGATAAGAAAATATTACATAAATAAAACATAGAGTAAAAAAACATACAGAATAGGAAGGTATTATTATCATCATTATCCTAAAAAGGGAAATAATAACAATAATAATACTAACTTGCATCACACACTTAAACCTAACTAAAAGCTTGTGAAAGGACATGTGTTTTTAATTTACTTTTAAAAGAAGACACTGTTGTAGCAGAGCATAGTTCATATGGTAAAGAATTCCAGAGAGTGGGTCCATAATGACTGAAAGCATCATGAGCTGATTTAGAATTAATTCTTGGTATAGTGAGGAGACCTTCATATGATGATCTAAGGGATGTCTTTGATGTGTATTTAGTGAGCATGTCACAAACATAGGAAGGAACTAAACCATTAAAACATTTAAAAACAATGAGAAGTATTTTAAAAATCTATTCTTTGTTTTACTGGGAGCCAGTGAAGAGATGATAAAATAGGAGTAATCTGCTCAGACCTTTTGGTTTTTGTTAAAATACTGCGTAACAGTAATCCAATCTACTAGTAATAAAAGCATGGACCAGCTTTTCAGAGTCTGACTGAGATAAAATACTTCTAACTTTTGCTATAATTCTAAGATGATAACAGGCAGTCATAGAAATGTGGGACATGTGCTTTTGGAAGTTGAGATCGACATCCTAAACCACACCCAAGTTTCTGACATGCTCACATGGTTTTACAGATAGAGGAGGTATCAGAGAATGAATCTCACTCCTCAAAGCCTTAGGACCAACTAATGGACTTACCATTGTGTTTGTTTCCACCTCAAAGATAGTAAACTTTTAAGATTTTTTCTTTGGCTTTGTATGAAGGTATTAGTGATACACACAGGAAACGTGGGGAGAGAAGTCTCCACTCGCTGGAGTTGAACAATGGACGTTGCTTTTTATTTGGTATGTGCCTTAATCATTAGGCTGCTGGGGCACCCCAAAGATGGTAAATGTTTAAGATCAATTGGTGGTTCTACTGCCAGTTAATTTGTGACATATGAAAGGATTTAATTAGATTAATGTTTATATGGTTTGTCTCACCTGCTCAGGGTTCCAGCTAGTGAAGGAGAAGTCCTGCAGCGAGGGGCAGATGGAGCTTTTCTCCTGGGAACGCTGTAGCCCAGCTGGCAGAAACACAGCACAGAAATATGGGGTTCAGCATTTCTACTGAGGAACAGCTCAAAACACTTAAAGGGACAGTGTTTATGGCTAAAACACATTGCTTGGGCTTGATAAATGATCTTTACCCATGAACGGGGAAGAGGGGACTCCTTGTGGGGGTGGAGGAGAGTAGGAGGGTCTGGACTGTAGGAGGGTCATATAGGAGGGAAAGAGCAGCTCGCAGCGGCTGTTCTCACTGAAGAGGACTGACAGGAAGACGCCAGCTGTGCTGCTCTCATCGAAGGATGAGGCCATCCTCTGAAACATGGGGTCCACCTGAGCAAGAAGGGAAAGAGGGACAGTTGATCATGTTCACGGTCATATAACAACAGAACTGAGGTCAAAGATAACTTATAAATGAAACAGTGCACTGAAAGAGACTTTAGAGTAAAATGTCGATCATCATTTTAGACTTTGAATTAAATGCTCTGCTGCTGCTTAAAGCTCTTAGATCCTCTACCACCAGGCTTTTAAATACTTTTTAACCAATTTACGCACGAGAAAATAGGCAGTGCAGTTTTTTTAAACTATGCTCCAAAACTATGGAATACCCTTACAAAGAGCTATAAGATATGGGGGCTCAGGGAACATTTTTAAACAACCTAAACCTATTATTGAATTTGGCTTTTAATTAAGTCTCTCTTGTTTTACTATTATTACCAATGTTTTTATTTTCATTTAATTTATATTGTCTAATTTCATTTTCCTATTTTATTATAAGATTTCATTTTTTATTTTAAAGCACTTTGAGCTACACTCTCTTGTATGAAAAGTTCTCTATAAATTTTAAAGTTTATTATTATTATTTATATTAATGTCTTAATTATTCGAGCATGAGGATCAGTTTGGATCTGGAAAGGTGATGTATTCATGATGGACACCAAAGATAAAACATCTTCAGAGAAGGTGAAATCTTCATGACCCACGTCTAATTATTTACCTTAATCCATCCTGATTAATTTATCAGTCATCAGTCAGACTTGGTGGGTATAAGATGATAATCACGTTTTAATCAATTATAGAATGACATCTGAGGAATTGTGTAGATAAGACAAATAAGACCGATGAGGGATTAAAAAAAAAACAACGCAATGTCATCCTAGTGATTATTTTACATGTCTTTTAAGATCGATTTTTAAATACTTTTAATTGCGTTTAAGGCTCTGTCTGGTTTGGCACCTTCTTATATCTCAGAACTGCTCTCTTCTTATGACCAGACGTGATGTCTGAGATCCTCAGTCAAAACTCTGTTATCTGACCCAAAGTCTCATCTAAAAACCAGCTGAGAGCTCCCAGACTTTGGATAGGCCTGCCCAAGGAGATCAGGCGTGCTGAATCACTGCCCCAGTTTAAATCACTGCTCAAACATACTTATATAAAGCTGCTTTTAATTCTTGACTTCAAGGATTCCTACTTTCTATTGTCTGTTTTATTGATTTTACATATGTATTTGTAATTATCCGTTATACTTACCTTACTAATTGACACTTTGCCTCTTTTCTGTGTCTTTTATTGCTTTGTTCTCTCTTTTTGCATGAACAGCACTTTGTGACTCTGTCTTGAAAAGTGCTATTTAATATAAAGTTATCATTATTGTTGTTGTTTGTATGTTCTGTTGTGACTGTGTTTGAGTTGAATGAATGAAAAGGAGAAATACAGAGATGGAAATGGAGGCTGAAATACCTACAGTGCCTGTCTCTACAGTACTGATGATCTGCTGGGTGTCTGATGCACTGATCATAAGCACTATGACACTATCAAATAAAGTTTTATTTGTCTTGTCAATTCGCAGTGATCTCTCATCTCTCATCGCGCTCACTTTCTCTTGTTCCCTCAGTTGGAACAGGTTTAGCTTCTGCGTTCCTCAGTGGGTTCTTGATCGCCTGAGAAAGATCCTTCTGTTCAAACGCCCTGACAATTTTGATGTATTGTATTAACACCCTGCTATACAAAGAGAAATACAATATGTGGATGGAGCAGCTTTCACGCACAACAATCACTGAAACTTAATGACACAGAAATTGGTAAACGGCAATATTATGTAAATAACTCCATCCAACAGGTCAACTAGCATCCTTTTGGCTTCGGGGTGGGTTGTATTTGAATATACTGTAATATAATGTATTGTTCTGTAAAAATGACACGTTACCTCACACTTCCTCTCAGACTCAGCGCTGTTGATATTGCTCAGGTTCTGTTCCACTGTCCTCTTAGGAGGCCTCTTTTTCTTCGGCTGCTTCGCAGTCACTTCAGCTGCAACCCCTTCATCATCTCTGCCCTCTTCCTCCTTTGGACCATGGTCTGTTTACACACAAAAAAAATTAAAGGAACATAAAGGAGAAATGCAAATAATGTAAATAGTGTTTCACATTCTGTAGGACAAAGCCTGAAAATGTAGCCCTTAGCTCCAGTGTAATACAGTGTACTGAAATGAAAATCCAACAACACACAGTACTCAGGCTCTCACCATCTCCAGGTTTGGTCTCAGCCCCCAGGCCACCCAGCACCCTGTAGGCATCAGCATGAACAGCATCCACCCTCACAGCGTAAATTTTTGTACTGGCATCCAAAGTGCCAGCTGCAACCTTTAGTAAAGACACACCCACACACACACACACACACACACACTTAAATAATTATAACAATCCCTTCAAACTCATGCAAAAGTGTGTCTGCAACTTTCATTAGGTTAACTCTGGATAATTCACTCTTTATCAGGGTAAGTGGATCAATTTCTTATCAGATACAACTCCCTGCCAGACAGTCTACTTCATCAAGATATTTAAACTTTAAGACTTGAATGCCCTACTTCATTGGATTTGAGACCTTTAAAGAATAATATAAAACATTTACAGGACCTGCAGCACAATATCTAACCAGGCCATTCATTTGAATCACTGTATCTAAATAATGTAGATGGTTATCAACTCTCTGATTTGAAATATTCAAAGATATCTTTCACATTTCTTTTGCCAAATTACCAGTCTGTGTTCCTACATTTATCATGATTACAATATTAACCAGGAAAAGAACCACAACATAAACATTGACACATCTGATTTAATAAAAAGATCAAAGATTTTTGGGGAAATGAAGGGAGTTATCAAAGGCTCTTAAAATGGATAAAAAACTCATACCTTGAAGTTTGTGAGCTCAGAATCCTTCTGTTTGAGAATATCAGCCATGTAATCAATCAGATGCAAACCAAAGGCATTTTTGGTGGTGATTTTCTGCCATGGAGAAGAAAAACAAAAAATGCATTAATCTTTGTTGTTCTCTTAACACATTGGAAATGTATGACAAATAGAAAAAAATATATATATATTTCCAGAGCAATTATTGTAACACTTCAAAATGCAAACTGTGTGAAACACATAATCAGTTCTCTGTACTCTATACTTACATTCTCAGTGGAGAGTTTTATGCAGGTGGAATAATGCTCTGAGATCTGTGCATTTGACAACTTGGGCACGGCAGCAGGAGTACCTGTGGCACTGCATACAAGCATGAAATTATCTTCAAGCTCTCAAGATACATATTAGCAGGGCAGAAAGAAATTGGCTGTTAAAGCCATGAGGTGACCAAATGAGTTGAATGCCATGAGTTAAAGCCAGCTTGGATTTATACTACAAGCATTACATGACAGACTATCACTATCAAGTTATGCTGAAAACACAGTCAAAAACTTGGTTTGGTAAACCTTATCTCTACAGCTTACCTGTGAGATGCAGAGTCATTGAAGGAGGAGTCAGTGGCCGTTTGAAGGTCAATGACTCTTGATCTTCGCCGCTGACGACGTTCCTGCTCATCATCGTTGCCGGGGAAGGCTGCCAGCAGTGGGGTGCTGCAGGTTGCAGGAGACAGACCCTTGTTCTTCATGGAGGATGACGTCCATCCTGGATGTACCCGGGAGACGGGTGTGGAGGCTGCACTCATCTTAGCTAGAAATAGAGAAAAAAGTTTCACTTTCAAGAGAAATAGCTGGGGTCATTAGAAAAATAGAAACAAAATAGGTAGCAGAGGGTTACACAAATTTAAAAGTATTTGTATTTCAACTATGTTGTATGACATTTCAAAGTTGTTGTTTTATTTCAACACACTCACTTAGCCTTTACACCTTAAATTGTGAAGTTGAGCATGACACTGGAAAGAAATGATACTTCTAAAGCAACATGCAGTATTTTAAATGTTCAGTACATATAACATGTTTAAAGAGTCTTCACGCATGGGAAAAAGCTGATTTATAGTATTTGGTCACATGTAAACAAAATGATTTAGGTGGAAACTGAGAGAATCTCGGAGGAAGTATGAAAACAATCATTACTGCTTGATGTAAAGGAATGAACAGGTATTTATATAACTATGTTAGCATTAACATTCCAGTAAATTTTCTTCCTGTAAGCCTTATTTTATTTCTACGGCCACCTAGTGCAGGGGTGCACAATCGACTAAATACGACTATTAGATTAGATTATAGATTATTATAGATTGCTTCACTCTTCAGTATAGATCTTTTAACAGACCACAACTTACTTTACAAAGTTTTAGCGATATTTTTCTATTTATCTATTCATATATGTTTTAAGAAAGTTGTACTTTGCGGTTTTTCGTTTTAAATTAACAATAACTTTGGCTAACCGTGACATATAAACAATAGGACTCCATCTGAAAAAAAAGCTTAAAGCTAGCTAAAACGTGATATAAATCAAAGTTAATGGACGTCTTGAAGAAGCAAAAGTGAAATTAGCACAGTATATTTGCTAAGTTAAGTTAATTAGTTGACTAGAAGTTCAGCTTGGTCTAAACAACCCCAATAAATCGTTGCACAAGCACAATGAGCAGCTAATTTTGCCTATGCTATCTTCACAGCTAAACATAGTAGTACCGCTAGCCTGGGCTAGCATTAGCGATTATGAACGTATTCTCACTATCATTGTTGGCTAACTGGTTTGCCGACACACAAAAGCAATACCACAAGACCTGCTTCGTCCAATTAACGTACCTCCGAGTGTCTGCTATCCGATGTGGCTTTTTGTAACTCCTTATAATTTGTGAAATAGCATGGGAGATCAGCGCAAGCTGTAGTTTATCTTCCTGTTCAGTGTTTGAATTTTTGCGCCGAACGGTTTACGTAGCACCACCATACGTCATGACGTTAAACCACGCCCACTACTATTCTCAAAAAAAAACAAAACACAGGCACTCGGTTTTACCAACCAAATAACCCTTTGTAATATTATTGTTCTTTTGCAAATTAACTGTATGTATCTCTTCTTTATGGCTTAAAAGGACTAAAGAATGAAGCACTGACTGATTATTTTAATCAATTAATTGCTGTAAGATTATGAGATAAGATAGATAAGATAGATAAGATAAGATAAGATAAGATAAGATAAGATAAGATAAGATAAGATAAGATAAGATGTACTTTTATTGATCCCAAGTAGAATAAATTCAAATTTGACACAGTAGCACAAAAGAATAGCAGCAACAAAGTGAAAATGTAATAACAAATGAAATAAGAATAGAAACAGAATTCAGAATAAATAGGATAAAATAGAGATACTATATATAGAATATAAAAAAAATGATTAAAGGGTTGTGCAGTTTGTGCATAGCAGTCTTTCTTGAGGTTTATGGATTGCCACAGCTCCTTATGCGTCCTCCCTAGCACACCCAAGCAAAGACTATGACACTGGCCACCACAGACTGGTAAAACATCCGTAGCAGCCTAGTGCACACATTAAAGGACATGAGCCTCCTCAGAAAGAACAATCTGCTCTGTCCCTTAGAGGGCCTCAGTGCTATCTGACCAGTCCAGTTTATTGTTGAGTTGCACCCCCAGGAACTTTTAGCTATACACCTCCCACCTCCCCAGTCTCTGATGTGATTTCTTCATTTTATGATTATGATTACTGACAATTTGATGAGCCCTATGATTGTGTGATTTTCTGAGTGGCCTGTTCTTCGACTAGAACAATTTTTTTCTTCTGTGCAGATGTATAATGACACAGTGTTTGTTGTAATCTCACCAGATCAGGTAAGGACAGGCTAGGGGTTGGAGGGCACTCAGTGAAACTAAACAAATATTGTAATTCATATCACGGTAGAACAGAACACACATCATACCTAAATGTATCCTTCCCCCTTGTTTCATCAAAGTTGCCTCTAAGAACAAGTCAGTGCAGACAAATAGGCCTTCAGTGTAATGTTGAATATGTCAGAAAGTAGCAACAATCATGTTGCAGCTACAGTGATCCCTTACATTTACCTTTACCAGCATTCAACAGGTTCTTTTTCTATATCTGTCAAATGAAGTGTAATGACAGTGGAATTAGTCCAATCTATATGCCATATCTTTTAGATCTTCCTTACATCTCTAACAAAATTAATTGACATATCATCAGTTTAAGTGGAAATCTGCAGATCTGATGTTCATAATTGAGCCTACGATGTTGTCTCTTTCAGGACTATGAGAGTACATTGATGAATATTATGTTCTGCATTTTGAATAGGGAATTTGAATATGTGTTAAAAATAGAGAGAATAGATAGAATAGAAAGGTGAGATGACAACAATAAAAAACAATAGTTGCTCACCAGATGGCAGTAACAAATAAGGCATTGCTCCAGTGGTTTGCCATTTGTCGTTCTGTCTGTTGCATTTTTTTTTATTTTTGATATTACCTCTTCTCAGACTTTGCCTTCTACATTTCATTTCGCCTCCTGGCTGTCTGGCTTATCACTGTGTCTGAGTTGTGATCATGTCGGCTTTGTTTCAGACAAGACAGAGCAGAGACCAGAACGATTCAGCCAATAAACCCAGATGAAGCCTGCCAAACTTTTCATTATTTTTTTTTACTATGTGTTTTCACAAATAAGTTTTCAACTTTTCTAAGGAGAAGATTTGGATGTTTTTGGGTCTAAATTTCTGAGCTGTTTCTTTAGGATGACTGTCTCACACGATAATCCTCCTCGATTTCCAAATCTTTTCAGAACTCACAGAACCATTCTTCATTAGCATAAAGTCATTTATTCAAGTTTCAAGTCACTCAAAATTTCAATTTCAGTCCAAGTGAAAAAGTAAAAAAAGCAATTTACATATCATTTTACATTTTATCAGTCTAGAAAATAACAAATGTTCATATCATGCTTTCGAAATCAATGTTAGTCTAATCAGAAAGTAAAAATAAGTAAATGTCTTTATATTACATTTCTTTTGTCATCACATACTGTATATCAAATATAGTTTTTGTTGACAGAGACCTCATACTAATGAGATTGTATGTGCATCATCAACTGATCCACCCTTACTACCATATATGCAAAATGCTTGATTTTTGTCATTTTAATAGGAATATTGAAATACTGAGAAAAAATATAGATTGTTTGCTTTTTTTTTCTTACCCAGACAAGTGTCTGGTGTATTTTTTCAGCCCTGACTAGTGTCTTCTCTCAGGCTGGAGCTACAACTTCTGCCTATCAGAGGATCAGGCCTGTACGTAGCCTAAGAGTGAGGTGAGACAGCCTGGATAGTGAGAGGAGATACTGCTCACAGAGATTTAAGTGAGTGACTAACTGAAACTGTAAAAGTGACAGGAACAAAAATATAGTTGAGAAAAATGAGGGGGATGTCTCTCTGACCCCATCCCCTGTGGAAATGATGCCCTTGCTTGTCAAACACAAACTGAAGCTTAGTTAACTTATTTTATTTCACTCTTACTTTCCACAAAACACAGTATAACACCACAGAGTGAGAGATTCACGTGAACACTTTGACTCCACTCTAGTGCTGAAGCTCTTGAGACTTACAGTATGTATGTGTATGATAGAAAAACCCAAATATCATCTGTCACGTGTGTAAGCTATTCTCTGTATACAGTATATCCTGACAGACATGAGCAGAAACATATGTCTTTCTTGTACGCAGGTAGTGTAGAGATTTCTAAAAATATCACACTATTAATCTTCTGGTGGAAAAATGTTGTAGCCTTTGGTTCAACTAAAACACAGACAGACCCCAGTACATTTGTGTGTGTGTGTGTGTGTGTGTGTATGTGTGTGTGCTGTGAAATCTGCACTCCCTCCAAAGAGAAGCACCCCAGTGTGATATATGGTTATGGCATTAACGCTGAAATTACAGTGTGTGTGTATTATGTGCGTGAACTATATTTAAACCACATATACATAATCACACATACACACACACACACACACACACACACACACACACACACACACACACACACACACACACACACACACACACACATTCATGTAAACATGCAGCAGTGCCTAACAAATGAAAGGCATTTATCTCTCCAACAGAAGCTTTAGCTCGGTTTAACCATAGCCAAGTTCATTTGATTGATTTTTTCCTGTCAGGTCATTGATGGGAGATGATGAGGATTATTAAATGACTCCATTTTTCTCTGCCCTCTCCGTGCTTCAAAGTGATCCTAATTCATTTTATTGCGTAGCTGTCAACGACAAACATTTCTCGCTGAAGTTATTTTAAAGATGCACCTTGGTCAGGCTTGGTCACTGACCGTATGCTCTGGTTAGCTCAGGGTTAAAAGGGCTCTTAAATTTCAGCACTTTAAAACGTTATGCGTTGCTAGGAAAGCTTATACTGGATTGTTTTGTTAACTTACGTATATGAGACAAGTCAATGAGAGAGATATACTGTAGGCTATAGGCTGTACTGGTCTAACGCTTTTAATGAAATTACAAAGCAGAGGAGTGCTGTGAATGGGCAGACAGGGTTGTTAAAACCAGACCAGACTGACGCAGTGGACAAATAGAATATAGTGTTTGCCATTTGTTTTGACATGCTGGGAAGGAGGCGTGTCATACTAAATAAGATAATAATAGTCAAATGGAAATTCAGAATATATTTTCATTTAACAGCTGAAACAACCCCCCAGGTGGCTGTATTGGATGTCCTTGGCTTTGTTGCAGTAACAGCCTCAAGCACCTCTAAAAGTACACCTTGATGTCTGAACAAAAATAATACAAAAATGTAATCAGTATGCTGTTTTCTGACCAGGAATTGACAACTTCGCCCTGACCTTTGTCGACCTGGTACATTGATTTTCATACCGGACTCTCTTCTGTCTTCTGGTTGCTCTCAGAATCTTTTTATAGTCCTTATAGTTCGGAAATTTCATGAGCACCGGTCTGGGCACTGAAGACTGGCTCAGCTGAACTTGGCCTATCCGGTGAACGCGCTGGATGACTGGGGTGGGGGTGAGAGCATCACCCAAAAAGCTGCATGTCTGGACCCTCGGCTCTTTCAGGGAGACCGACTAGTCTCAGGTTAGAGCGCCTTCCTCGGTTGTCTTGGTCTTGAAACTTGTTGCTTAGTATCTCAATTGCTCCATCCAGGCATTGGTATTAGGTTCACTCTGGTCTTCATTAGCAACATTGCTACCGTTGGTAATGGTGTTGTTAGTCTTGTTATCTTGTACCAGTGGTTGGGATGGTTAGGTTTAGAGTTTTTTGGTGGCATATAGAGTCTTTTTTCTGAGACTTAAAGATAAAGTTATTCGAGCTGTCACTTGTTTTTCTCAAGTTTTTTCAGAAAGTTACAGATGAGCCAAGTTACTGCAACTTTGTCAGCGGCACGCCATAACTGGAAGTTACCCTAAGTGCATTGGATTGAGTTTTGGTAATGTTGTCTACTTCTTACTGGTTATCTCTCATGCCTTAGTATGAAGTCAGCCACCACTGTCCCATAAACACATCTAATCGAAGAGACAACAATTACTAACTAAAAAACCCTTATCTGTGAATGTGAGCAATGTGAATGTCGTCTGTTTCCACTTGTCAGTCCTGGGATTGACTGGTGATCTGTCCAGGGTGTACCCTGCCTCTCACCCAGTGTCTGCTGGGATGTGGCTCCAGCCCCACTGTGAACCTCAAGGGTAACTGCGTGGGTACAACTAATTGATGGATGGAGAGAGATGCATATTTACTTCATATATGTTACCTCTCACACTTCAGAAATGTAAAGTCAATGCCATGGCAGAAAATATGTTGACTATGCAAACTGTACTGTGTCTAACGTGGCTAATGTCTAGTAGTCTCTCA